AAATATGAATAGGAATGTTTCTATCCATCAAGACGTATACGATCCTTTTCAGAGCCACAAATGGACTTTGGAGTAACCCTTCCCCCACCCTCCCTCCTACCGAAAATGTATTCTAATTGACGCTATTAAGCTCAAAATAATCCATATTTTATTAGACTTACCATGCAGTCGACAGTCTTCCTGTTCCGAGCTGCAACTTTAAAAAGGCCTCCAAGCATTTCATCCTTTTCTTGTGGCTCCTCCGCCTTCCCGTTTAGCGTTGCTGAAAAACGAGCAGAGGCTAACAAAAAAAATCTTAAATGATCACTGAGGATCTTGCAGAATTTTGCAAAAATGCAAAAAAAAGGCAAGTCCTTTTCAAGCTGCTTTTACTGAAATACAAAAATCGTTTTCAAAAAATTTCTAGATTTTTGTAACCCTCAAAGTGTAATGGACTTACCAGAGCTAGAATAAACAAGCTTAGCCCAATTCAATCGAGATTTCTCGCTGCTGCTGCTGTCGTTGTAAAGTGAACCAACACGAGCGCAGAGCTCAGACCAATCGTTCGCCGGCCTTTGCTTCTCTTCATGCATCGAGGTAATTTCCTTCTGCTCGAGAGTACCCAGTTCCGCTTCTTCCTCACTGCTGTTACCTTCATCCTCGCCACTCTCATCTCAAAAAAAAGAATGCGAAGTTTCACTGAATGTTCAAAATACTACGTGATTTACATTTTCGCATGTCGCCTCTTTCACTCACCTTTTTTCGTTTTTTTTTTTTAACTTTTTTTTTCAAAAATTACTCGACTACAAATAAAACACACACACACACACAAACATGTAAACACACACAAACACAAACATATACACAAATACAAACACACAAACATACACACATACAAACACACACACATATACAAACACATACAAACGATTTTAACAAAGAATAACTTTACCAGTAGAGCTGCCGTATTCGCTTGTGCTTTCACCATTATCGACAATAGAAACTTTGGAGCTGGCCACCATTCTCATTGCTCTTTTATGCATTTTTTCATCGATACCCTCTTTTACGGTTTCCAACGCCTCGACAAGTTCGTGCCGGCGAGCCCTTTTGTAAGAATGGGAACCACCAGTTTCAATGTAAATGGCATCCTGAAATATTTAACGAAGCAATCCGAAGCAGTTTTAGACAAAGGTTTCATTGATGGGGTGAAGCCGAGCCGAGTTACGACGAAACAACAGCTAATCAAAACATCACAACAAGTTGTTAATTTTACTTTTTACTGCTGGTTAACACTAACCTTCTATACGTTCATCCTCACTTCCCTCCCTTCCTTCATCTTCCTTCGGTAATCCACATGTTCCTTTTAACATGGCGGAATGGGGCACTGTACTGATGATTCCCATCCCATTCCGCACCGATTTTGCAGTCTGTGTTTACAGCTCAGGGATGAAACCTAGGCAGGCTACCAAGTCACTGCACATACAGGCTTGCTTATTTGGGAGATCTAAAAGTCATTTCCGCTTTTCATTAATTGTCAAAATTCGACTGTGTTCCTCTCCGTGGTGGGCCAATAACGCCAAACAAAGAAGAGTTCAGGCCCCCACCCTCATCCAATCTTCTAGCCAGGGATATTCACTGTTTGTATCTTCAAAATTTCCACAACACTTAGCAACTAATCGTGCCGTCGCGCGGTTAGGCACAAAATATGTTCTCCACGCTCCCCTTCCCCCGCCTGAAAAAACAGCTAAGCCTAAGAAGAAATCAGTAATTACAGGAAAAAAAAGGCCTACCTTATCATAAACAATGCCACCAAGACCCGAAAAAGGCGCATAAATCACTCGTTCCCGTTCATTCAATGATCGTTTTGCTTTTTCATTCGACGGCAGTGGACATGGATCAGGTATTGCAGTGATCTGAAACCAAACTACTGTTCAACTGGAACCAGCCATTTAGCCCAAAACCTCTGGAAAAAATAATTCTGTGCATTTTGAAACGGCGAAAGCCCTGAATACCAAAAATACAACCAAAAAAAAAACATACATCTTCGATTCTCAGATCACCAACACCGGGAATATGAACAGCAGCATGATTT